TAAGATTCTTTTTCATAACCAAAAAATTAAAGCAGAGATAGTTTGGGTACTCTAAGGAGTTGTTCCTATCATGCTTTGGTAGCCAAATCAATTGCCTTTGTACTTTCTAGAGATCATTTTGGTGTAATGCAAAAATAAGGGATTGTAATCTAGTTTCACATTAATATTTAGAATTTCTTGATATGAGGCTCTGCTATTGGTAACTCCATTTAGCACATCTGACATATCCTCATCCTCCTGAATTATGTTAACTGCTGTTTGCTCTAATGAGGAAAGAACTTTTCTGCTCCTCATATTCTTTGTATTCTGCTCTTATATTAATTTTGTTCATTCACTTAACAAGTACTTAGAACTCAATCCATGTTCTTCTTATCAATAAAACACTTTTAAGTGTTCCCTGCACTCCTAAGTCTTAAAACTCTTTAACCAAAAGACATAATGTCATACTGCTTGTTGTGCTGGAGAATGTAGGAAAAGCAGCAAAACGTTGGCATGACGTCAGAGAACTGGGAAGTAGGTTTACTAGGCACTGAGTTATGATAGGAACAACAACAAAAAAAAAGCAATGAAATCTTTTAGAAAGTACTTATGAAAAATTTAGACTATGAGAACTTTGATAAATTAGAAAGCCAGGAAAAACAGAACTAGTTCCCTCTGGGTTTCCTTATTCTACTTATTCTAAATCCGCCAATAATCCTTATGGCTTTAAATGGCTCTATAAATGCCACTCTATAATTATGGCCTCAAATAAGCATAAGATGAGTTTTTTTTTAATATTTATTAATCGGCGGGTACAGCATCTTTGTTTGTATGTGGTGCTGAGGATCGAACCCGGGCCACACGCATGCCAGGCGAGCGCGCTACCCCTTGAGCCACTTCCCCAGCCCCGTAAGATGAGTTTTAAGGAAAGCTAAGTTAGGATGTTAGGAGATACAAGGAAGTGATGACAAAGTGACTTAGTATCTACAAAGAGTAAAGAGGGTGCTAGCAAACAGATTTTTTAGTGTAAATATTCCATTTTCAGAGGGCTAGGAATGTGGCTCAGTGCTTGAGTCCATGCATAGCATACATGAGGCTCTGGGTTTGATCTCCAACACCACAAAAAATAAAATTAAAAAAGAAAGAAACCCAGAATACTTTAGACTCATTTGTTTGGTAACTCATAACTAGCAAGTGCCTGGCATTATAAGTTTGTTTTTTTAAAAAAATGCCCCAAAACTTAAGAACTCAAGGAGCTTGTTGACAATGATTCAGTACTAAGGGGCAAGACTTGGGCTGGGTTTGGCAGGTTCAGTAGAACTGCAATGAGGCAAGAGACCATTTTGAGACAAGGGCACAGGATGAGCAAAACATGGCATGACTGAGAGGTGAAAGAGTAAATAATTAGGTGTTAAATCTTAGTATTATTGCACAAGAAAATAATGAAATTTTGTTCTCTTTAAAAAGCCACTAATACATTGTTTGATCCCTAATTTAAGACTACTTTTTGCCTAGTTAAAAAAATAAAATTACCTAAATTGTTTGTGAAAATAGTCACCAAATGTATGTGAAAAAGAAAACTGTACATTTCTAAGTACAGAAAGGACAAATAACTAGTTTTAGATCTGAAAGATATAAATAATATATAAGATGTCAGAGTAAAATCCCAAGAGAATTTAGTCACAAGGGTTGAGGGAATTAATACACACTGGGGAGTGGGGGGTGCACTTACCCATAGAGTCAATTCACATACATTTATACACATAGCCTTTGCATCTAGTTCCACATCTGTGGATTCAGCCAACTGCCTATTAAAAATATTTGCTCCTGCACTGACCTTTTTTTGGTCAGTGTTTCCTAAACACTATTGTATAACAATCATTTGCATAGCATTCATATTGTATTGAATATTACAGATAATCTAGAGATGATTTAAAGTATATATGAAGATGCTGGGTATTCTGACAAACATAGTCCCAGCTACTCAGGAGGCTGAGGCAGGATTACTTGAGCCCAGTAATTCAAGGCAAACCTGGGTTATATAGCAACACCCTGTCTCAAAAATAATAATAATAATAATAATAATATTTAAGTACATAGCAGGATAGGTATAGGTTATATGCAAGAACTATACCCCATCTCTGCCCTTATCCCCCAGTACTGGGGACTGAACCGAGGGGTTCTCTACCACCGAGCTGCATTCCCATCCCTTTTTATTTTTAAGAGAATGTCTCACTAAGTTGCCCAGGCTGGCCTGAACTTGCAGTCCTCCTGCCATAGCCTCCTGAGTCACTAGGATTACAGCATGATAAAGAACTTGAGCATTCATAGATTTTGCTATCTATAGGGGGGTTCTGGAACCAATCCCTCAATGGTTTCTGAGTTTGACTATACTTATATTTATTAGTAAAATAAATTTACACACACACACACACACACACACACACACACACATTGTCCTACATGGGAAGCGGGAAGAAAGAATATGCTTGAAAAGGCCATTAGAACCAGTAGAAAGGAAAGCTTCGTGTCGTTTTGGGTAATGACAGTACTGGTTGTCAAGTGCTGTGTAAGGAAACTCAAAGAAGAGAAAACAGGTGTGAATTTAGCCTTGTGTATGACTTTTTAATCAATCTCTTAGATGGCTCATTTGCAGGACCCTAGCAAAAGCTACATCACACACTCACCTGAAAGGAGAGATGTAGTTGGACTGCAAATATTATTATTATCACCCTCCCTGATCCCTAGCAGATCCCACTTTAGTCTTCAAGATCTGGCATAGAGTCAAGAAATCCTGCTCCTACTCAGTCCAAAGCAAGATATTTTTTCTAGGAAGTGCAGTCCTAGGAGGTCTCATCCTGAGAATTTTAAAGGGATTAAAACAGGGTAGTAGGGCTGGGGGTGTGGCTCAAGCGTTAGCGCGCTTGTCTGGCATGCGTGTGGCCCGGGTTCGATCCTCAGCACCACATACAAAGATGTTGTGTCCGCCAAGAACTGAAAAATAAATATTAAAATTCTCTCTCTCTCTCTCTCTCTCTCTGAAAAAAAAAAACAAAACAGGGTAGTAGGTTGGGTTCTTCCTCTAGATCCTCTAGAGCAGTGTGTGGCCATACAAGTTCAGAACCGTTGCTGTTCATTGAGGTGAATCCTTCTGGGTTGAACTTCACTACAATAGTGTTGGACAGTGCATATGCCCCTGGAGCTGCAGTGCCTGTAATTGTTGAGACACGTGACAGCAAACATTCATCAGCATCTCCTTTGCACCAGACCCTTTCTATTCATTGTAAATAAGGGGTTTTTTTTGCAGAAAACTGAAGGGAAGATGACATTCTCCCCCTTTTTATAAACCAGGACCCAGAGATAAAGAGGTAACTCTGGACTTTAATCAAGACTTGCCTGGATATAAGTCCTTGTTTTTCCATCATTCTACTGCCTCTGAGAGAAATCTCTCCTTCCTAAAAGCAGCAAGTACAGAGCTGCAAAGGAGATGAGAAGAAGTAGCAGCACTGCGCCTTATCCACTTCCCTGCACTGTGACATGCGGGCCAGGCCCTTCCCCAAAGAGCGCATGAGTGTGCATCTGGCCTAGATGGTGTCACAAACCTGAGAAAAATGAATGAACAGTCTCTGTTTTAAGTAGGAGTAAGTGTTGTCTACCTAAAAGGTAGACGACAAGAGATGGTGTGGGTTACAGGTGAGAGAGCCTGGCACTGGAAGGGCTCAGTATATAAAATACAGGTAGAAGCAGGACCAAATGAAGCAGGGCCTCATGTAAGCCATGCCAGGAGCCTCTTATTTTATCCTGAATGTGACAGTGAGCATCGATGATTATAGATGAAGGTGCGCTTATGGGGTCCTCACACCTACTCCGCGTGATTCAGGAGAGAGGAGAGACTAGTGCATACATTCGTTCACCAGAAGTACTTTGACTATTTCCAGTGAATCTCAGGGAGGTCACTCTTCCAGATCATTTCTCATAGTAGAGCAAATGATAAAATGTTTTTCTAACAGCACATTTTTGTGAGTGTAAAGGGGTGTTCTGAGGCTGGTCTTAAAGGTCACAAATCATGCCTTATTTTCTTTTGTGCTAAGCCCCATCTATGTTAAATTCAGTTCTTCTCTCAGAACCATTAGTGAAGTTGATTTCATTTATTTTTTGTGAATAGGGAATACAATGTGAGATGTCAATACAAATGATCAGGCAAGGAGCATAGATGAGTGGTAGAGCACTTGCTTGGCAGGATAGTCATTTCTTTCAGAATGGGGTTGTGGATAGGGTAGATATGAATATGATAGACCATTAGACAGATGGAAATATGAGACTGGAACTGGATGTGAAGTCAAGTCTAGAAAGAAATTGGAGAGTCATCATACTTTTAAAAGTATATAAGTACTTTAATACAAAATAGAAACAAAAAAAGAGCTCAAATAGAAATTCTCTATATTAAGATGTATGTGGTAAACCTTATAGCAACTATTAATAACTCAAATAGTGAAAATTATTAAAGAAATTAAAAGGCTACATGAGAAAACACTCATAATAAAAGATGAATAGAGGAACAAAAGAGATGTGAGACATACAGAAAAAAAATAAATTGGCAGACATGATCCAGCTGTATCACTAATAAAGTTAAATGTAAATGAACTGAACAATCCAATCAGATTGCAGAAATTAATTGACTGGACTTWAAAAAAAGAAAAGAACCTATACTAGATAACAAAATTGAGATTAGAAAAATATAAATGAAATCAAAAATTGTTCATTTTTAAATCAACAATAATGATAAATTTTTAGTTGACCCCCACACACAMAAAAAAATAGAGAAATTACATTACCACAATCAAAAATGAAAGGAGACAGTAGTACCAGCCTTACAAAAATAGAAATGATTATACTGGAATCCTAAATTCACATGCCAATAAATTGGGCAATTTAAATAGAGTGGACAAATCCCTAGAAAGGAAAGCTCTATCACAAGAAGAAATGTTTGCCTCGTATATGACATTGTGATGCAATTACAGGCTCCTGCCTTCTCCTCTCAAGGATGCTGTGGAAGTGTCAACCTGGAGAAGATGCTACACAATGCAAGAGGTGAACTCTGCCCTTAGCAAAATCCAACTGGTGGGATATTCTCAGAAAATTGTGAGTGTTAATATTATTCTAAAGTGACTCATGAGTGCTTTCAATTCATATTGTACTTTGAAGGATCATGTAGTTCCCTTTTTAAAGTCATTCTGTCACCAAGAATCTTGTACCCAAAAAAAAAAAAAAAAAAGAGCACCTCTTGTTTTCCTTCAGCCCTGCCATGTTTTTGCTGGTGTTCATTCCTAACCTTCACATTCCCTGTCACCAGCTAGTGAGGTAGTGAGTCAGGAGAAAGGAGAATGGCATCTCTCTTATCCCATCATGGGAGAACAACAGACACTATAAGTAAGACAGGGAACAGAGAAGGAGTTTGGCAAGGATGACTTGAGTTCTAACTAAATATAAGGGCTCCCATTTCTCCTTTAGAATAACCCAGAGCCTAACACCTAACCCAAAAGGAAAATGCATCCTGAGTCCCTGGCAACTACAGTTGGGCTAAAACTCTCAGGTGATAAGTAAAGACAACAGGATTGCTTTTTGTGTCCACCACAGTCTCCATTGTCCTTCTGTTTTAAACTTTCTTGTTTACTTTAAAATAATTTCTATTTCTAAACTAAAAGTAGTATTTGTTTCTTTTTCTTACAAACTTATGTGCTCTGAAAGCATTGTTGAAACTTGTGGTTCTTTCTGTGATTCCTTTTAGGAGCTTTTCGGTGCTGTCCAGGTAACTCCTCTGAGCTCTGGCTATGCTCTTGGAAGCTCTAACTGGATTATCCAGTCCCATTATGAGAAAGTTTCTTATGTCTCTGGATCCTCCTTGCTCACCACACACCCTCAGGTAATGATAAATTCTTTTTTAACAACTCAGCTTTGAGGTTATTTAACCCAGATTCAGAATGTATCCAGTGTACTATCAGCCATTTTAAAATCTTTCTAATCTTGGTTTCTTCAGAGTATTCTAGGAAAGTTAGATTATTAGAATCCCAACATTCAGTATTACATTTTCCTCAGAAAGAGTTCTGCAGCTTTTTAGGGTCACCTCTGAGATTCTGAGATGCCACAGTCCTTCCAAAGACTGTAGCCTAAAAAAAATAAAATAAAATAAAAAAACCAAAGACTGTAGCCTGATACAGAATACAACAAGTTGTTTATTTACTCAGCACATATTAACTACTGAATACTTAACAAGGGCCAAGTGTCAAGCATTTATGTGTTAGGGATTAAGTCGTGACACCAGGCAGTCTCTGCTCATGGATCTTATTATGTTAATTTGATACACGGGGAGAAGATGAACAGAACATGAAAATGAATGAATAAATATGAGCAGTCATTTCAGATTGATACAAAAACAGCAAAGCAGGGTTTTTTCTAAAGCAACTGGGTCAAATTTAGATTAAACGGTCAGGGAAAGCTTCTGGAACCTTGCGTCTGAACCGAGACCAAAAGGAGGCATGTGAAACTTGAGGGCAAAGCACTACAAAGAGATGGTAAATGAAAGGCACTTAGAGCAGAACAAGCTGGGCATGTTTAAAAAGCAGAGAAGGCCATGGAAATGCAATATACTACCTGTAGTGAACAGTGAGGCCCAGAAGAGCAGCAGACACCAACTCTCCTAGAACTTTGTGGGCCATAGTGAGAAATTCCAGTTTTTTATTTTATTTTATTTTATTTTATTTTTTAAAGAGAGAGAGAATTTTTAATATTTATTTTTTAGTTCTCGGCGGACACAACATCTTTGTTGGTATGTGGTGCTGAGGATCGAACCCGGGCCGCACGCATGCCAGGCGAGCGCGCTACCGCTTGAGCCACATCCCCAGCCCCCCAGTTTTATTTTAATATGTAGGAGGAAGCCATTGGAAAGTTTAAATTGGTCATTCATTCTGGTCCTATTTGGCAAGGAGCTAAGTACATAAATATTGTTATGAATATAACATTTAATCCTTTTTAGGTATTCATAAAAGTTTCTTGTTCATTTCAAAAATCCTGGTTCTCCCATGTCTGTATGGTATGTTGGGGAGATGAGATAGTTGACTGATGGGTTACATAAACAACTTGTGAAAGTCCATATTCTGTCGTGTTTTTTTAATTGGCAAATTTATGAACATAACCTCAAGATTTTATTATCTTCCTAATAAAGCAAAAGATGAAGCTTAGAACTAGATCATTTGGCCATTTTTCCTCTTCTTTCTGGTCAAAACATTTGCATCTCTCTTTAATTGATAAGTAAAAGTTATATCTGATGTACAGCATGACATTTTGATACATACACACACATTGTAGAATGGTTAAACCAAGCTAATTAACATGTTCCATTTTAATATGGGGGAAAGAATGCTGTGTTCTGGTCTGGAACAATGGTGCTTTTCAGCTGCCATTCTGCATTGTTTTTCTCAAACCTTCTTTTATAACTTAAGTTTTATCTCAAGGTCTAGAGGAGACAAGTTGCTATTTTTTCCTGTAGCTAGCAGAATTCTGGGCTCTTCCCGCTTTTTGAAATCAAAAGCCCATCAATGTCATCATAATCTGCTTCATTGAATCAAGATTTTTTTATTGGCAGCTTCTATCATTTTTGATATATTCTTCCATAAAAGACAGAAAGATGACTTGGCTGCCAACTCTTCTGGTTTGTCCTGCTTAGGTCAAAGCCTTTACAGTACTATAGATGTATTTTCCAGTAAATTATTTCTTCAAGGTCTATAAATTTAAAGGGAAAATAAGGTCTTGAAAGTAGTGAGCAACATACCTAAGTAATTAATTTTAATTTCTAGCTGGTAACCTGTGTTATATATTTAAAAAAAGAAAAAGTTAATTTTCTTTATCCATATTGTTGGATTCTGCATTGAGTTAATAGGGATAAGAAATGTTTTGGTTTGTAAAAACTTGATAATCTACTGTAGAGGCCAGCAAACTGTATCCCATCACCTCCTGTTTTTTTTATGTAATGTTTTATTGTATTGTAGCCACTCACACTTGCTTGTGATTCATGACTCAGTATGCCCTATAATGGCAGAGTTCTACTCTACAGAAAGGGTCTGCTAATCCTGGTCTACTTGAATGGAATCCTTACTAGCAAGGAAGAATAACACAAGCTGCTTATTTAATAAGCATAGACTTATGAGGCTTTGGATTAAGATTGAAGCTATAAGAAAGGAGACGAGGCAACATGGATAGGTCCTTAATTCAAGAAGTAAGCATTGAATGCCCACTACCTTCAGTGGAAAAAGATAGAAGTTAAAGGTTTTGTGCCTGGATGACTTTGAGAATGGCAGTAATTCAGTTAACAAGGAAGAGCTGGCAGGATGGTTATTTCTTTCAGAATGGGGTTGTGGATAGGATAGATATGAATATGATAGACCATTAGACAGATGGAAATATGAGACTGGAACTGGATGTGAAGTCAAGTCTAGAAAGAAATTGGAGAGTCATCATACTTTTAAAAGTATATAAATAAAAGGCTGAGGGCCAAAGACTGAGCTTTTGGGAACATTTACCAGTAGACTATGGAAGGAAGAAAAATCATCCTACATAAGCATGGGTGAGAGGGAGAGGAGAATTGAGGCCAAACAAAGGGAGAAGGAAGAAAAGAACTGGCCTTCACTGAGCTCAAGGTCTCAGCATAATTGTTTTAATTGATCAGTTATTTAACAACCATACTAAATTCTCATGTTCTAATATTTGTCAGTGATGATAATGTTATCTGCAGAGAAGTAACTATTTTGTCAATTCTTTTCCAAGCCTATAGCTTTTCTTTTTTCTGTCCAGCTCAGCCCTCTAATACCATGTTGAACAAAGTGATGATAGTGGGCATCCTTGTCTTGCACCAGATTCTAAGGGAATGCTTTGTTATCTCTTCATGAAATATGATACTTACTACACAGTTTTAGGAGGGTTTTTTGTTTTTTTTTTTTTAGATGCAATACCTTATCAAATGGTTTTTCTTAAGTCTGAGATAATCTTATGATCTCTGTTCTTTAGACTTTTTTTTTTTTTTAATGAGGTCTTTCTATGTTAACCCAGGCTAGTCTCAAGCAGTTCTTCTTCTTCAGCCTTCCAAGTAGCTGGGACTACAGGTGTATGCAACCACATTCAACTATAATGTATTTTCATTTTGCCCTTCCTTCCTTATATCTTTGAGTTTTCTTCCTTCCTTATATCTTTGAGTTTACTGTGTTGCTCTTCTTTTAAAACTTATCTCATTGCTTCTTCTTGGCTTTTCCAGTAAATGTTTTTAAAGCCATGAGATTCTCTTAGTATTATTTAACCCTGTTAAAGTTTTGATATGCAGGGACTGAGGCTGTAGCTCAGAGGTAGAGCGCTCGCCTAGCACGTGCGAGGGCCTGGGTTCGATCCTCAGCATCACATAAAAATAAATAAAGAAAAAAATTTTTTTAAGAGTTTCGATATGCAATGCAGTGTCATTCATCTTTAACTAGATCGTGACAGTTTATAATATTCATGATATRAATAACCAAAGGTTATTTTATAGTATTTTTGTTGTGGTTCATCCAGTCTAGTAAGATTTAGGGTTAAAGATAAATTTTTTTGGTAATTCTATTTTTTTATTAACACATAATTAATTGTATATATTAAGGGGATTCAGTGCAATATTTCCATACATGCAAATAGCATGCACTGATTGTTTCTGACCACCCTTCTTTCACCACTGTCTCCCCTAACCTTTCCCAGTCTCTAATTATCATTGTTCTACTTTCAAACTAACCATTTTTTAGTTTCCAGTATGAGAGAGAATGTGTAATGCCTGTCTTTCTGTGTCTGGCTTATTTCACTCGACATAATGTGCTCTAGTTCCATCCATTTTGCTGCAAATGACAGAATTTTATTTTTCTTTATGGCTGAGCATAATCTATTTTATGTATGTTATACCATGCTTTCTTTGCTCATTCATCTGTTGGTGGGCATCTAGGATGGGTCCATAACCTTAGCTATTATGAAGAGTGCTGCAATAAACTTGGGAATGCATATATCTTTTTTGTATGCTGACTCCATTTCTTTTGGATGAGATACCATCTCATTTTTTGTGTCATTTTCAGGATTCTAATTTTTTGCATTATGATAAATGTATAGTTTTGTACTGAATTTGAATGAGCTTCCTTTGAAACACAAATTATTTTTGTGAACATTCTACATAGATTAGAAAAGAATATGTATGCATTGTAGGGTAAAATGATTCCATATGTATTAATTTGCGCTTTCTGTGTTATTTAGGTCTCTTGTTCTGAAAAGGATATGTTATTTGTTGACTTACCATATTTCTCCCTGCAGTTTCATCAACTATTGCTTTTCATATACTTAAGCTATATACTTGGGAAGCTATATGCTCATGATCATTACATTTTATGGGTCATTTATTCCTTTTATCAGGATGTTTTGATGTTTTCTCTTTTTTCTCTATCACACTACATTAAAGGCCAACGGACTTTTCACCTTCCTTATGTGCCTACTATTTTTTTCCATCCCTTTTTTTCTTTTCATCCCTTTATTTTCATTCTTTCTGTATCTTTCTGTATCCCTGTTTAGTGGATCCCTTTTAGAAAACTAGTAAGAGACCTTTTTTTTTTTAAATTTAGAGACTTGATTGAACCTGTGTATGTTTTTATAATTATTATTGTATTCAGCTTATTTTGGTCTTATTATATTATTTTTATTGTTATTTGGTTTTTCTTTTGAGATGGGCTTACCGTATTGCCCATACTGGCCTTGAACCTACTGATCTCAGGCTATGCTCCTGCCTCAGCTTACCAAGTAGCTGGCACTACAGGCTGGTGTGCATCATGCACCTGGCTCAGGGTTTTTAGTTCATTCTTTTTTCCAGTCCTT